ACTTGGAATTAAACACGATGGTTTCTAGGGAGAATCGCGAAGAGATCGATCTGACAAGATGTATTGCTAGTAATGGGGATATCAATCTCCATTATCAACAATCCCTTCTCCCCCCGCGGATGCCATGTTATTCTAGACAAGACTTTTAAAACCTATGTTTTTTTAACCATATGTATAAATAGATTAGGGAAATTTGATAAATTTTGTATGTTTGTCGTTTCCGACGATTATTTTAACTTTACCTAGAAGTCTTTTTCAGAGCGAATACAGTGCTTACGTCGATTACAATGTCCAGCGATTCCTAAAGTGGATTCCGCGGAACCTAAGGGTTCTTTAAAAAAATCACTAGGGATCCGCGAAATTATTTACACAGTGAAACAATTTATTAAAGATTAAAGGGAACTATGAAGTGTAATACCATTGTTTTTATTTAAATTATAGTGTTTTTGATTTGTAATCGTTTGATATGGGGTTTTATAAAATAAAAGGTTTTTGATGGATGTCTGGTTATTTTAAAAGTTTAGAAACCCCTGGATTACATTACTTAGGGGAGACGCTGTGACAAAAAAAAGTAATTTCATAATATTCCGGTTATTTAGTAATTTATAAAGTTTAGTTTTGTTCAGGTACCAAGTGTATTGGATAGGATCTCGAATTTTATTTGCCGTTTATTAAACATTATAATATCTCACTTTAACTAATTGCTATTGGGAATTCTATTGTTAAACCCTCGTTAGAAATTCCAAGCGTCTAGGCTAAGGAAAATTACTCGGTAAGTTTTGATCATTAAGCCAGTATTAGTACATTAATTTCGACATTGCTTAATATTGAATTTAATTATATCCGTAAATTAGTAAATTTTAGAAATTATCCATGTGATCCCGGTTTAAAACTATCTCTTGCTTTCCCCTGGGTGTCGTAAGAGGTAACTAAGGGAATTTAAAGGTCGAGGGATGGGAAGCAGCCTTTCGCTTAAAACATCACCAAAGTCTAATTGCGGTTGGTAACCCGTTTACTAAGTGATGCAACAACTTTTTCTTTTTTTAACGTGTGGAAAATCTTCGGAAATACCGTCCCATCTGCCGGAGGGAGGGCAGCTGGGGTGTGTGGGATTCGTACCCACTAAAAACCACACGATGTACCTCGAGGCGCTTATGTCGGATCCCGGGTTCCCGTTTGTACAACTACCGAGTATAAGTGATGCAACTACTAGCAAAACGTATAATAAGAGAAAGCCTATATTCAGCCGTGGACAGTTAATAGCTGATATGATCCGTGACTTTAGTCATTGATAATACTTGGGATCATTGATACTTATTATACTATTGTAAAGCTATTTCAAGTTCTGTAGTAAGTTTCAAGTGCTGTAGCAAATTATCCTACATGTTACATTCCACTATGACCTTGCATAAATCCTTGTATGAAGGGTTATAAAGCTAGAGCACCAAAGAGATTGTTTAAACTATATAGTTTAAACAATGGGAAATAAGGATTGTTAATGATAATTTAAAAAATACTCTTATAATTAACTAAAACCTACGTAAATTGTCACTGAAGTTATAAAATTTGTTGTTAAAATGTTCTTGGAATCTTCATAGTTGCTAATTTTTTTTTTTTGTGATAAATTTATGTTTATCATTTTTGTTTAAAGTTAAGTTCGAATCTTTAAACCAAATGTTAAACTATTTATAATTACAGATATGTTAAAAATAGCTTTTTGCTTGCTACTTCATTTGCGTGGATTTCAGAAGTAGGAAAAAAAAAGAAATATACCACTTCTAGAGAGCGTATCACGATAAAACAAATGTTATATTTTTTAATTAGAATTTCAGTAATACGTCTGTGAAAATTCCATTTAATTTGATGCAATAGTTTTCACGTGATGCCAGAACAAACATTTTTTAGACATACACAATTTCTAAATAAATATTGTTTTGGCATCTATTGGTCTTATTAATATCCCTTATATAAATTTTCTTAAATATCTCCCATGTACAGACATCGTATAGATATTTTTTTATTACTGTAATATATATTATATAATATATATTATTAAGACAAGATTATTTCCTTTTTAATTGACACTTATTGGTAACATTGTCTGATTATGATCATTCTTAAATACTGCGATTTACACTTAACCGCTTTTTAATTTAATACTTGTTAAATTAATTTCCTACCAAAAATACAATGTTTTATCAAACAAATCTGGCTAGTATGCTAAAAAAGAATTAAAATAAAATAATACATTACGTAAATTTATGTAAGCAATTAATTTTGATGACTGTACTTAAAAGCTATAAGAACATGAAATTGAACTAGTTTAACTTGACACTGTTCTATTATATTAGTTGTAGTGGAAATAGGACGAAAAAATTTTCCGGTGAAAAGAGTGTTGTTAAACATTGTATGGTTAGAAAAAAAAATTATTTTTTTTTTTTTAATAAATGGGAGTCGCTAACGTCTATGTTAGTATCTGGCTTACTTGTTATTTACTTATCAAAATGAAAATAATTGTAACTAGACCACGTCTGTACATGGGAGATGTTTGAGAAAATTTAAGATAAGGGATCTTAATAAGATCAATAGATGTCAAAACAATATATTTTAGAAATTTTGTCTGTTTTCCTGTCTGAATGTTTATTGCAGCATCAAGCTAAAACTACTACAGCAAATTGTAGGTGATTTTCACAGTTTTATCTCTTAAGGTATAATTTAAAAACTGGTGTGTGTTTCGTCTTGGTATATTATTTACAAATGGCCCATGTTATTTGTTTTTCTACTTCTTTAATTTACACGTATTTATTAGTAATTAAAAAGGTAGTATTTAATAAATTGATAAATAAATAATCAAAATCTATATTATTTTAAATAATTCTATATTTATATATATCACTATGTAATTATGTAACCGTGTAAGTCCCGGCAAAAAACAGGCCACCCCTTTCTTTCCCGTGAATGTCGTAAGAGGTGACAAAGGGATGGGCAGCAGCGCCTCTTTTAAAACATCACCAAAACTCAAACTGCGATTGCTAACTCGCCTTTCACATATAGAAACTATTGTCAAAATCCCCTTATGGGAAAGCTGTGTGCAGCAGTAGACAGTTTACGGCTGACACAACATACAACAACTATAGAACTATAAAAAAATATATAAATTAATCAAAAGAAACACAGCGCTTGTCTGTTAAATTTATTACCTCTGATTTTGTATGCATTGCATATTTTTTCATATGCACCGAAGATAATTGGATGGGAAATTGCAAATATATCATACTGTCATTTTTAATCAAAATACCATATAATAATAATATAACTAATTTAATAAATAATTTTAACTTATACAATGTTTTAAATAACAATACTTACAATTAAATATAGTTTCCCAATACACCCCATCGAGGCAACGTACCCAAGATACTGGCAGATTTACTTCATTGGGTTTTTTATAGGTTAAAATGGAATGGTTACCCCGCCTGCGCTAACGGGATATGCTGGCGGAGCACCAGCGAAGGGTGATTTATGAGAATGAAAACAGGCCAGTTAGCCCATCATGATGAATTCATCAGGAATTAACCATGATAATTTCCAGGGGGAACTACGAGGGAGGTCGACCTTTTTGAGTATATTGCTAGCAATGGGATTTTTAAACTCCATTACTAACAATCCCTTTCCCCCCACCTCTTTGGGTTGCCAAAACTTACCTTTTGCTCAAAATAGCTACCAGCTCTCACCACCACAAGGTCACCAGTAATCTCAATGAATGCAAAGCCCTAGCCCAAAGAGTCCATAGGCCCATGTCGTCTACAGCAAATCACAGGAAATAATAAGACCCGTCTAGATATGTGATGTCATACTAACAATCATCTTTCTTGATGAATACTTATGAATACAAAAATATGTATGTAAATACAGAGTCGTGTTTTAAAGCAATTATGGTTTTAAATTACGCGAAGCAATAACAAAAGTAATCTAACTTGTATATAAACTTTTGATTCATTACAAATGTTTGGTTTTAATAAAACTTTATTCTTGTGTAAACTTGAAAAGTAGTATAATTCAGGTTTATTGTTCAGTTAGTTAAATCACGTTGCATAATGAAAGTGCAGGACCGAAATACGTGGTCGTTCTTAAATTTAATGAGAATTTTCAATAGATATCAAAACCCAATCTATGTTTTCAAAACAACAACTGGTGTTACCAACGCATCAGTTAGTTTTAATCTTAGTTACTTTATACGCAGACTAGCTACCAGCTCAAGTTCCACACGATCTTTTTGTAAATAAAACATAGACCATGTTACTTTGGCTGGTAATGTAGTTTTCTATAATGTGAAAGAAATTTTAAAATCGGTTATTTATTTTTGATTTTTTTTTATACAACTTAGAATGGCAAACAAGCTGACGGCCCACCTGACGGAAAGCGGTAACCGTCGCCTATAGATATGAGTAGTACCATGGACATAACAGAGTATACTGTTTCGCCCATGATACCCCCTATGCGTTGCCATTCCTGAGGACTCGGGTGTTAATCCTTTGTACCCAGTAAATTCACGCCATATCCCACCCTTCAAACCGAAACACAGCCAATGCAAACACATGCTTCACGGTTGAAACACGAATGGGACAGAGGTACCCAAGCAATCGACTTTTGTACAAAGTCTCCCTCTAGTATATAATGTACTGTATAATATCCATTACAAGTGATCTCAACCGACTTTGCACGAGTAGATAGAATTTTCTAAAATAATATATGGTCTATATTAATCGCTGATAATGATACTTTCTGTAGGTGAAAGAATTATTAAAATTAGTTGACTAGTTCTGTATTGATCCATTAAAAAAAATTTTTTTTTTCACTTTATAATATTAGTTTACATAAAGTCACCGGTGTAGTAAATTATTAAATAAGCATACTTAATAAGAATGTAAATGTAATAAAAACTTTTTTACTAATTCCTCTGTTGACCGTACATGATATAAATTAAACCTTTTGTACAGGTGAACTAGCAATTAGGTCACGATATGCCCGCCTCACCGTGTTGGTCCCTCCGGAGCCACCGAAAATCCTGCAAGGGACTTACTTCTCTACGTCCGAAGACCGAGATATCAAATTGGAATGCGTGTCTATTGGTGGGAAGCCACCGGCCGAGGTAAGAATTTAGCAAGGTCATGATATAATTTTCTTCAATGTTTGCCCGGACAATTTGTATTTCTTGGACATTAATTTAAAATGTGAATCAAAATTATGACTGTATAAAAAGAAATAAAACTAGTTAAGAGTAGATACGGGCAATACAAGTATCGTTCCGATATCTATATATCAGATTCCTCTCAACATTGACAACGGAAGGATCATCATATAGCTTATACAAGTTGCATATCTATATATATTTCACTAAGATATATTTAATATACCAGTTATTGAGTCAATATATACATATTGTTACTATAATATTGTTATAAATTATAGAACTATATTGTATATACTAATTAATAGGGTTCAGTAGCTTTCTTTTATGTAATATGTTTGAGAAACAAATATTTGGTTTAACTTTAAGTAAGCAACGATACGAATCAAGCCAATAAATATTTTAAACATCATAGTAGATAGTTGCTCATTGTTAATCCTACGTAAGTAACATGATATAACAGATGATGACAGTCTGATGATTAGTAATTTTATTACTATTTTATCATTCATACCGGAACTAACAAAGATATTTGGTATTAGGTATAACAGAGGCTTTGATAGTAGAAACTTTACAACACCATCTATTATCAATTTTAAGAACTAAAATTCTTATACACTATATGATCTTTACTTGCTTCAAATAACATAAATGATACAAACAAGTTAAAAGCTTAATTATTCGTTGTATCACTATGATTTCATTTCATATTTGATATATACTAAAAAGTCCGTCTTTCCCATGAAATGATAACACTAACTGTAGAATAACAAATCATAACAAACCCCATAAAACTATCTAATGTTATATTCTTGTCGAAATGATAGAATCAGTTAATAGTTGATTATAATCTTAATGACATTGTTTATGAGCAAGGGTTTTAACGGGGATATTATCTCTTGGGTTGAACGTTTTGGGATATTTTGTGTTACTATTATTACTTATTTAATAATTTCCTTTATTAACACGAATGCTTTTAGTTATATTAGTCGGTTCATTGAAATGCACTTTAGTAAACATTTGGACTAATAAATTATTGTACCGAAAAAATATAATGTAATTATTATTACATTATATTTTTTCTCATTTTTTTAAATACGAGTTAGTACCACACAATCACACCAATCCTAGTTCTAGAGCAAAGAGACTGTGTATTATGAGAATTAGTACTACACAATCGCAGCAATCCTAGTTCTCAAAAAAAGAGACCGTGTATTATGAGAATTAGTACTACACAATCGCAGCAATCCTAGTTCTCAAGAAAAGAGACCGTGGATTATGAGAATTAGTACTACACAATCGCAGCAATCCTAGTTCTCAAGAAAAGAGACCGTGTATTATGAGAATTAGTACTACACAATCGCAGCAATCCTAGTTCTCAAGAAAAAAGACCGTGGATTATGAGAATTAGTACTACACAATCGCAGCAATCCTAGTTCTCAAGAAAAGAGACCGTGGATTATGAGAATTAGTACTACACAATCGCAGCAATCCTAGTTCTCAAGAAAAGAGACCGTGTATTATAAGAATTAGTACTACACAATCGCAGCAATCCTAGTTCTCAAGAAAAGAGACCATGGATTATGAGAATTAGTACTACACAATCGCAGCAATCCTAGTTCTCAAGAAAAGAGACCGTGTATTATGAGAATTAGTACTACACAATCGCAGCAATCCTAGTTCTCAAGAAAAAAGACCGTGGATTATGAGAATTAGTACTACACAATCGCAGCAATCCTAATTCTCAAGAAAAGAGACTGTGTATTATGAGAATTAGTACAACACAATCACAGCAATACTAGTTCTCAAGAGAAGAGACCGTGTATTATGAGAATTAGTACTACACAATCACAGCAATCCTAGTTCTCAAGAAAAGAGACCGTGTATTAAGAGAATTAGTACTACTCAATCACAGCACTCCTAGTTCTCAACCTTAGGGATATTGTATTATGAGAATTATTACTTTTTATTATTGGAGTAATTGTATGAATTACTCCAATCCTAGTCCTCAAGCTAAGGGATTCTGTATTATGAGAATGAATATCACACAATCGCACCAGTCTTGTATGTTATAAGGCATAAGTAAATAAAAAGCATAAATTTATTTTGTAAGCTAATTAAAACTGCCACTGTCCTTGGAAGAACATTTTGCACATTAATGTTAACAAAACATGATAGATTTATACAAATCCATCAATGACTAGTATGTCTTTGTACTCAATATGCATACATGTTTATGAATAAATGTATTTTTATCTTTATGTGATATATAATAAATAAATAAATATGTATATATATATTAGGAAGAAAATATATTAAAAATCAAGAATGCGAGTTTACATTCATATTTATCAGTGTATCCAATTAAGTCCATTCTAATGTTTATACATAATTCTGTTTCAACATTAATTACATTATCTCTAATATTGTATAGTTACAATTCTAACAGTATTGTAAGGTAAACACTCTTGTTCCAATTGTGTTAATAAACGTGGTATACAAACGAATACGGAACGGCAAACAGGCTGACGATCCACTTGGTTCTAAAGTCCGCCACTTCGCAAATGCTTAATATAATATAAACAGAATTTCGACAGAATAGTTTTACATGCCTATTTTGGAATATGGTTGGCTTATTAAAGTTATTCTATTTATATCTCAACTTTATTTATATCTGAATATTGTTGTATAAGCTATATTGTGACCATATTTAGACTAGGTTACTGAACTCTTCATATTATTGTAGTATTGCATTCATCATCATCATCATCATCATCATCATCATATCAGCCGTTATTTGTCCACTGTTGGACATAGGCCTCCTCCTTGTAGTGTTTTTCTAGTAGTTACGGCGGGTTGACAACCACAGTTAGGATTTGGTAATGTTTTAAGATTTTTTTTTTATACAACTTAGAGTGGCATACAAGCTGACGGTTTACCTGATGGAAAGTGGTGACCGTACAGGATTGGAAATGAATGCAGCTGTTCATCCTTCGACTATTCAGTTCCCTTAGTCCTCTTAGCTTAGCTCTTAGAAAAGGAAGGAGTGGCCCATTCTATGCCAGGACCACACAAACATTATATTGTAAAATCTTTATTATACATACTGTATATATAATAAAGATTTTACAATATTTAAGTTTTTTTTTTTATTTTATCTTTATTATACATACTGTACACTGACCAATTTAAAAATATTCAACATAGTAGTAATATCGGAATTATCCCTAGAGGCATATCTTACAGTCAATATTTGACAAGTTGAAAGTAGTAATTAATTTAAGATCTAAAACAATATACTTTATTTTACTTCAATAAAACATTTGACATCTCACTGGACAGGCATCCCTTTTTTTTAAGAAACTGATTCTAAGCTATCATACTATCATGTTAAGTGGACTGATATAGGCTTTTATTTCTCTTGCGATGTTATTTATTAATTCAAACTGTACCAATAAAATGTGGTACGAAAGATGGACTTAATGCTGATGCTATACTTTCTAGCTAAGCTATAAGAAGTGCAAAATATTAAGTGAACGGAAACTGTACTTTATTCCATTAGTTGCATTTTAGAATATTTTAGAAATAAAAAATATTGGTGACAAATCCTTACTTTGATACTGCACCAAAGCTTATAATCTTAATAAACAAACACAATACAAACAAACATTTACCAATTTGAATACGAAAAATAAAACACTTCAACCTAATAACAGCGTTGAAAATCTAATTGTAAAAAATGCAGTCTTTCCTCACTCTATAAATAAAAATGGTTATTTCTTTTCTCGGAAGTAATGCCATTGATACTTCCTTAAGTCATGGAGCTAAAGCGAAAAATATATTAACATTAAAATTTTCACCTCCCTTGTTCTTATTCATGATGACATTAATTAATCAAAGTCCCATTTAAATGAATGATTAACGAGGACCAACCCTTGTTTTTCCTTTGCTTTTTTTTTTCTTACTCTTTCAGAATTTTCTCCAACAATAATGTTCCCTACATATTAAGTGTTGAAACGCACATAATAAGTAATGGTAGTCTTATATTTATAGCAATGAAATTTAATTTTTTTGGTTACTTTTTTTTATTAATAATTTTGTTTTAATTACGTTAACCAAGTGTAACATATAAAACATGGTTAACTTCAGTAAGGCTCAACCATGAACCTTTACAATTTCTTTATCTAATCGTCTTAAGAAATCGTTTAATACTAGATATTAATTGAATAGAATTCAATTGTTTATACACCGCACAATTCTTACATACTATTGCTTATATAAATCGCCACATCTATAGGAACTAGGAAAACAGAGAAATGCGTAATTATACTTAGGCGAATTCGACTTACGCGGTTGTCGCTCAGTTCTACTAATCTCGTAATTTCGGGATACTGCTTACATTGTTAATACATAAATTCATGTAGATAGTTAAGTATGATTATAAAAATAACTATTTGCTTTGTAATGTATCAATTATTGTTAATCTGAAAAGAAAGTATAAAATAAAATTTATTCTTCCGCTTGTGAAATTAAACCCCATTTCATGGATTTTATATCTGTGAATTTATTATAATTGTCTGTTTTTCTCACTTTATCCGAACAAAGCTGGCTTATCTCAAATTATATTTTTACCTACAACGAATTTCGTTTATTTTCACCGTATTACCTTGATTGGTAAATAATTTTTCTATTATTGCTTGGATATTATTTTATTGTGTAATAAACAATGTAATCGATTTCATAAGCAATTATTGAACTTGATAAATATCTATGGCATGACATAATGGTTTTATGCTTTAATACAATATATCACCACTCTTTTGTCCGTTTTTTTATGCAACTTAGATTAGCAAACAAGCTGAGGGTCTATCTGATGAAAAGTAGTAACCGTTGCCTATAGACATGAACAGGACTATAGACATAATAGATTATACTGTTTTACCCATGATACTCACCATGTGTTGTCAATCCTGAGGACTCAGGTGTTATTCCTCTGTACCTATTAAATTTACTACTATATTCTGTTTGTTCCCAAGCAGACACACGAGGCAAATAAAAACAAAATACACTATTGTAAAAGAACAAAAACTCTAAATAAAACGTTATATCTAGCCTGTTGGTCAGACCTACTATGAAATGTTTTCCGAATTTTCACAACCGAACAAAACACAAATTAGACGTTAAAATTTTATAATATATACCGTTTAATAATATTAAAAATGTAAAAATATCGTTTCTTTGGACTTTTATAGTAGGATTTATGAGGAACAAAATATTAAGCTCCATTCACTGGGCCGATTTCGGTACGAACAAAACCACGAAATTGAGTTCGAAATTTTCATTTATTTATTTTACACTTTATTACGCCGAGTAAAAAAAATAATAAATACCGTAAATATTAAAGAGAAGTAATATAAAAGGCGACCTTATCGCTAAGCAATCTCTTCCAGACAACCTTTGGGTAGAGTATTTTAGAAAAAGACAAAGGGTTTATGGTAGACTTCCAGATTATGCTACTATGTATACGCTTAAACGATCCTTTTACGGAAAGACCCATGTCTAACTGTGGGAAGTCAATGGGTATGATAATGATTACTACTGATAAACAGCTGATTCATCTAAATTCCACCTTTAATATAATTATTTAGCAACATTTTTCATTCGCCTAAATAAATTTACGTCAAATGATGACATTAATAATCCTTAATATCAAGTTTGGTTGTTAGCTTAGGAGAATGATTGCTTTATTAGGTTACCTTGAGATGCTCTAATATGACTTGAAAGTCGATACTTACAAGCTTATGTGGTAAATATAGCGCTATTCTCTCAGATGTTTATGAGTGTACATTTAATTAAAATTACGTTACTCCTACAGATTTTGTTTTAATATCATTAGTTGTAAATTGCGTTATTACTGCGTGAATTACAATGAGAGGTACTCTATAGTATGTTGATTCAGAATATCATTTATATACGTATATAGTTACAATATGATTAAAATCTGATCAACTTTTACTACGTATTTAACTTTTCTTTCCTTTGCAATCATTCAAAATTTCTCTTATATGATAATTAAGTCTTCAAGTTTTATACTTTATAACACAAGATTATATTTTCTGCTATTTACTCTAAATTATAAGTATTTACAAGAAAATTAGGTTATACTTATTAGTAACATCACTGTGTGGTCCCATCATAGAATGAGCATCCCCTTCCTTTCCCATGGGTGTCGTAAAAGGCGACTAAGGGAAATGAATTGTCGAGGCATGGGTAGCAGCGTTCCTCATAAATAATATCACCAAAGTCAAACTGCCTTTGCTTACCTGTCTGCCAAACGTGGCAACTACTGAAAAAGCCTCTCATACGGGGGGCAGGGAGCTTATGTTCAGCAGTGGAAAATTAACGGCTGATATAATGACGATATTAGTAATAAAATTATACTACGAATTAAGTCAGGATCTAAGCGCCAAATTTTATGTAATTCAAATCTATTTTCGTTTAATTATTTACACAATTTTTTAATATATAATAATATATATATTTAGAATTATCAAATTGATGATCTTTCTGAGGCATATGTATATCTCAAATGGATTATTTTTATATGATTGTAGTACTTAATAAATTACAGCAAAAAGTTCCAAGTTTTTCACTTATTGAGCACCAGAGAGAAGCCCTACAGAACAGCGACCATGCGAAACTCGTTATCTCTTGTTCCCATGGGTTTTGGCAAAAACCTTTCCGTAATATATACATACCTTGTATAATAACAAGAATCTGCAAAATTTCGAGTTCGAATTTTGCATTAAAATATAAGTCAACCTGTATTATTCTAGCTTTATACAAATTAATATTAAATTCCATGTGCAAAATTTTACGAGCACCAGAATGCTCTTGTATTTTATTTTTATATCAAAATCCTAAATCCGATAAACAAACCTTGTCGAATGAAGTGTTTATCTTTTATAAGATAGATAAAATTTTCACCTTCTTTGTGATCAAGTCAAATTTATTCTAAAGCTTGCGATAAATCTCTCGGGTATAACACTGTTTATGTTAACATCCAATTTATTTTGTACTGGTGTCATCCCCCAATTTACCTCAGAATATTCCATTTAAGCTTTTCAGGTGGGAGTCAATGGTATGTTGCTCATGGGACAACACACAATTAGGGTCTAAGTTGAAAATGATGTCGTGTTGAAATATAAAGTCCTTTTGGGATTAAGTGATTTTAAAGTTGAATTTATTCTACTTGAATTAAAACCAAAAAGTTTTTGATATAATAGAAAGAGACTCGCTCTTTAATATTATATCAAAGTCAGCAGTATTTATAATGGCAACCTTGAAATTACTTGTTGCTACTATAAACTATAAGAACTATAATTCTTACAATATATCTGTTTTGTTATTGATTTATTTGAAATAATGCAGTCTATTAAACGTAAAAGCTTATATGGCACAATATGGCCCTAAATAAGTAATTCGGTTACAATGGATTGACACATTATTATGCATTATTATAATAAAAGTATCGTGTATTGTGTATTAATTTAGTAATAAACATTCAAAAAATATCAAAACTATATTCTTGGGATACTCTATACTGACATCACAATATTACACAGTATATATATATATATATATATATATATATATATATATATATATATATATATATATATATATATATATATATATATATATATATATATATATATATATTACTGTTATATTCGTGATACTATTTACGTCTATACGCGACGTTACCACTTTCCACCAAGTGTACCGTTAGCCCGTCTGCCATTCTAAATTACATAAAAAAATCTATAAAAAATATCACCAATTACATTTAACATAAAATTAATATTTACTAGTTCATATATAATTGACTTTACCGTGTGGTCCGGGCATAGAATGGGTTATCCCTTCCTTTCCCGTGGGGTTGTCGTAAGTGGTGACAAAGGGATTTTACTGACAGAGGAATGGGCAACAACGTCCATCTTAAAACATCACCAAAACCTAACTACTGTTGCCAACTCGTCTGTGACCGAAGGAGCTTGACAAACAGTTAAAACCTAATATGATGATGATGTAATTGACTATTTAATAATTTCTATATCAAATACAGCTTCTGTTTTCTTGGAAATTATTTACTAAACCTACCTAGATATATTAGACTCTATAATATGTACAACCATTTAAATGGCATCATTAATATTGTCATTATTTTGTTTAGATCACGTGGGTGGATAGCAACGGAGGTGTTTTGACCCAAGGTGTTACGTATACCGTTGAACCACTATCAGATGGACAGAGATTTACAGCTAGGTAAGTTTTATTTATAACAATCAATTATTCTTCTCCGGTTTAACTTGATAGTTGTAATTTAAGATTCCATAAAAAAAACGGACATCGATTGCGGCAAAACCGGTTATTTTGTCTAAAAAATGAAACTGTTAAACTGATTGTAATAAAATTTCTATGGAGCCAATCTAAAAACAGAGGAATAACAACTGAGTCCTCAGGAATGGCAACGCATGGGGGGTATTATGGGCGAAAAAGTATACTCTGTTATATCCGTGGTACTGCTCATGTTTATAGGCGACGGTTACCACTTTCCATCAGGTGGGCCGTTAGCTTGTTTACCATTTTAAGTTATATAAAAAAGTATGTTATTTAGATAAAAAAAAATCCAAATCAGTTTATATTTAACGGAGTTATATGGTGACAAACAAAAAAAATACAAACGAATTGAGAACCTCCCCTTTTCTTGAAGTCGGTTGATACATGTAATGAGATGAGGATTATGTGAAAAACTAAAATAGATATATAAACAGAAGACATACTTAATATACATACATTAAGTTTGACGTTTTTAACCTTGACGCTACTGATTCTTTTTTCCAATACAAAAGTTAAATCAAATTTATCAGTTCATTGTAATTTAGAATTTTGCAAAATTACTCTTCTATAAATCATTAAAAACTAAAATTATAAAAATTTCCACTTAAATCTATTAGAAAATTGATTACTATTGGTCTTTACAATAAATTTTTTGTTGTGATATCAAGTTCTAATTAATTAAAAACTGAATTCTATCACTAAATAGGTTTGAATAAATAACTCTTTAGAATTGACCCCGCTATTTCTGAATTACAAGGTGTAATTCTGAATCAGTGTAACAATATCATTTATTTAATAACATATATAAATATAAGGTTCTTGAGTGACGACCACGTATGTGTAAACCCGTGGTCGTCACTCAAGAACCTTACCCCACTAGATGGAGTGACGATCTGAAATGCGTTGCAGGTAGTCAGTGGAAACACGTGGCTCAGGACCGTTCTTTATGGCAGTCTTTGGGGAGGCTTATGTCCAACAGTGGACGGATAATAGCTGAAATGTTGATGATATATAAATTAAAATCACTATGATTAGAAGATTAGTATAATTTTATGTGAATATAAAAACATTAATATTATACGCTTCTTTTTATACCACAAAGGTGGCAAGCAGGCATATAGCTCGTCTAATGGTAAATGGTCACTGTAGCCTATGAGCGCCTGCAACACTAACAACGTGCGCGTTGCTGACTTTGAAGCAACCTTAAAATGCTCTTTTTGAAGAACCTAATACTGTAGTTTCTAGGGAAAATCTCCACAGAGAGCTCATCCCACATCCCATTTTATACTTTTTTTAAACGAAATTTGTTTACTATATTCACATACTATGTCATTTTACGTATTTTTGTGTCATTTTATGTGCCCATGAATTTATTGAAACTATTTATTAATTTATTAGAATAGAATAGAATAGAATAGAATAGAATAGAAATCATTTATTCAAATAAACTTACATTGAAGCACTTTTGAAAAGTCATTACATTTTTTTTAATTTACCGCTCGTTCGGAAAGCTGTCTCATCACAAGAAGAACGAGCAAGAAACTTGCGTGATGCTCTTTTAAATAATTTTATTATTATTTTACATTTTTAAGTTTAATTGTGTGAATACAAACCACCAATTAGCACTAATTCAATTAAATACTCAAAAAAAAAAAAAAAAAAAATTGAATACATAACCAACTGGTTAAACAATTAATAAGAGGAAATCAGTCATAGTGATTAGAGCAGACCAGTCCCTACAAGCAGCACCCGTTCACGAGTATGACGGATGAGCCAGCCATCACTGCGCTCGACCATATTTTAGGGAGCCCAATGACCCGGCCCACCACGCCGCCACAAGTCTGGACATTTTAGTGAGCATGACTACTCAAAACACTAGACCACGTCAAAGCTACTCACAATTGCCATCTGATAGTTATAGTATTCACATTTTACATAAGAATGCATGCGGCAATTAATACAAAAAACCGCTACGCTTTCATATTTCTAAAATTAATCAATTAAATCAAGAAAGCAATGAGAAAATAAAATTATAACGTTGTATGCTAATAAACTAATTATTTACTTGATATGTTGTCATCTATGAATTCGTCTATCCTGTAATAGGCTTTCTTACATAAAAATTGTTTAATATAAGATTTGAATTGCCTCTCTGTCAGATTTAATGCAGATTCCGGCAGTTTATTATAAAATCTTATGCAATTACCATAGAATGAATTACTGATTTTGTGCAGACGGCATTTAGGTAAAATAAGCTTATTTATATTGCGTAAGTTTCTACTTGTACAGTCTTTGAGTTTTTTAAAACTCGCTAAGTTCTTCCGTGTATACATAATATTTTCATAAATGTATTGTGAAGTAACTGTGAGGATATTTGAGTCTTTAAAGCACTGACGTAATGACTCTCTTGAACCCATACCATAAATAGAACGTATGGCTCTCTTTTGTAAAACAAATATAGTATTTATATCGGCTGCTTTACCCCACAGCAGTATGCCATAAGACATTATGCTATGGAAATAACTAAAATATACAAGTTTAGCCGTCGCCACGTCTGTTAATTGCCTAATTCTTCTAATTGCATATGCAGCAGAACTGAGTCTACTGGCCAATTTTGAAATATGGGGCCCCCATTGTAATTTCGAGTCCACTGTTATACCTAAAAAAACTGTATCATTAACAAAATTTACTATTTCGTCATTAAGCAATAACTGTGTATTTATTAGTCTTACATTAGGAAGTGTAAATTTTATACACTTTGTTTTGCTGGAATTTAATAATAGGTTATTACATGTAAACCAATTTAATATTGCAGACATAGCACAATTTACATCGTCTAATTGATTACTTTGACGTCCAATTTTAAACACTAACGAAGTATCATCCGCAAACAGCACTATATCTGCAATTTTCTCTACCATAAAGGGAAGGTCATTTATGTAGATTAAAAAGAGAAAGGGGCCTAAGATTGACCCTTGTGGAACGCCCATCTTAATATTAGCTCCCTTAGATTTTACACCGTCAATATCTACAGTTTGAACCCTATCCTCTAAATAAGTTCTCATTAATTTTAGATCATTATCTCTTATACCATAATGTTCGAGCTTGTACAAAAGCGTTTTATGATCCACACAATCAAATGCCTTTGATAGGTCACAAAAAACTCCGAGTGCATCCTGTGACCTCTCCCAAGATTCGAAAATATGTGTCATTAGCGCAACACCTGCGTCAGTGGTAGACTTGCCGGCGGTGAAACCATATTGCTGACTGTGAAGCAGTCCGTTAACCCTGAAGTGATGTAACATTTGATTTAACATTATCTTTTCAAACACCTTACTTAGAACTGGCAAAATAGATATAGGTCTATAGTTCCCTGGCTCAAATTTATCTCCTGATTTAAATAGTGGGATTAATTTGCTAAATTTCATTAAATGTGGAAAAACGCCATTATCAATACATTTATTAAAAATAGTGGCTAGATATGGAGCAACAATATCTATGAAAGAACTAACTACTTTTACAGACATGCCCCAAAGGTCTTCCGTATTTTTTAAATTTAGCTGTTTGAATATTTTTATGATATGAAAGGGGCTAACATGTGAAAATTTAAATCTTAAAGAACAACAACCGATATTAGTCTCTAGTAATTTTTTTGCTCGAGATTGAGATGAGTCCAGAGAAGATGTAATATCAATCGGAATATTAGCAAAAAAATCTTCAAAAATATTAACTACATCTTTTGTTGTTGTTATTAATTTATTATCATAATTTAATGTAAATTGATTACAGGCTATTTTAGATCTTCCAGTTTCTTTATTTATAATGCTCCAGATGGTTTTAATTTTGTCAGAAGACTGCTTATTAACTTTAATAATGTAGAATTTAAAAGCAATAAGTATCACATAACCGGTGGAGTATTCATTTCGATAATATTAGCTGCTTCAAGCGAATCAACATAGATAACGTTCATGCATAATGCTTATATTAGGAACTCGTCTGTAAACAACTTTGTCTTGAGTATAATATTTCGCTTGTTGAAATGTTTGTATATTTTGGTGTATAAATAAGAAAATTTCTATCTTTGTCCTGCCAAGATGATTATGAATAGTACTCATTATATTCCATTAATCCTTACTAATATTATAAATGTGAAACTGTGTCTGTTCAACCTGTTATGAATATAGATTTAAATAGTTAAGGTCACATCACTAATAGAACGGCGCATCACTATTGTCGCGTCCTCTCTTAATATATATGTCGTCACTATTGTACTACTGTCGGTCTGTATAATTAAACCAATAAGTATTAAACAAGTCTATGTCATTTATTACCAAGTCAATACACAACCGACTTAATTTTTAAACGGTTTTATTTCTTAATACAATTTATAATGGCAAACAATCTGACGGCTCACCTGATGAAAAGTGGTAACCGTCGCCTATAGACATAAACAGCACCATGGACGTAACAGAGTATACTGATTCGCCCATGATACCCCTCATGCGTTGCCATTCCTGAGGACTTAGGTGTTGTTCCTCAGTACCCTGTAAATTTACTGCCATATCCCGCCCTTCAAACCGAAACACAGTAATGCAAACACAACTGCTTCACGGTTGAACCACAATAAAGAGATTCGTAATTCAATTGTATTTTTGTTTATGTTTGTTACTTCTTAATTATGTTAGTTGTAAATCCATTTAGATAAGTCTTTTATTATCTAAAAATATATACTTAGAGATTGGTCTCATAATATTTTTTATATTAAAATAATTGGTTTTGTCACAATTCGAGTAAGATTTTTTTGTAGAACACATTTTTTTAAATTTCTTAGCGCCTTAACTGCTTAACCAATCGCGACAAAATTTGATATACATATATTATAAGGGATGTATTATGGGGTAGGCGTCGCAAGAGGTGACTAAGGGAACATATAGTTGAAGGACGGGCAGTAGCGTCCCTCTTAAAATATCATCAAAAACCTAACTGCGGTTGCCAACTCACCTGCCAGTCGTAGCAACTATTGGCATCATCATCATATAAGATAAACCTCCACCTAGGGTGTTTTGTCAGTAGTTGCCATGCTTGGCAGGTGGATTGTCAACAGCAGTTGAACTTTAGAGATGTTTTACGAGGGACGCTGCTATCTTGCTCTAATTACTATCTATCCTAACCACTGCCCCTCGGGGGAAGGGATTGTTAATAATGTGTAGCTTAGTCTCCATTATTATCTATATACTACATCAGGTCGACCTCCACGCGGTTCCCCGTGAAAACCATCGTGGCTAATTTATCGTTGAATTCGTTACGATGAGCTAACTGACATGCCTTTTCATCTTTACCAATCGTCCCTTATTGGTGCCCTGCCAGTGTATACCGATAGCATAGGCGGGGTCATCATTCCATTATCGTCCATTAAAAAAAAAACACTGCCCAAATAGTAAACGATAGTAGTAAATGTATATAATTAATATATATAATATTTATTTACAGGTCCATACTAAAAATGAAGCCTAAACGCGAACATAACAACCAAACATACACGTGTCAAGCCCAGAACACAGCTGACAGGGCTTACAGAGCTGCCAGTATCGTCATTGAGGTTAGTAAAATATTTGGATATTTGGAAAAAGCTTTTCCCCTTTCCCTTTTCTATTTTTTTTTTCATATTAATATTCCTATTTCCTTAAAGAGGCTTATTTTCTACATAATTACTTTCGTTTGTACCTATAGTGTAACGAGACTGCGTCTGTATTTGAAATAGTTTTGGATGTTGTAACGACATTTGTCTGATGTAAATACCTAGTTGTCGTCAAATTAGAAAAAAAAAAACATCAACGCTCGCGTGACATCCCTAATGTTACAGACGTCCATAGGCTACGGTAACCCCGTTTATTATGAAACGAGTCGTATACTTGTCTGCTACCAAAACAGTATTTCTCTATGTATTTTTTTTTTCTCTTTCTTGTTATCTGCAATCGGTTCTTCCATAAAAGACAAAATCAGATAGTGTCAAAATGATACAAATTACAAATTAGTGTTTTGAGGAGCAGTTCCCTGACAGATCTCTCCGAATGATTTTGTAAAGCTCTTCAGACTCTAGTGTCAAGGTTCAGTACAAGCCATCGTCTCAGTCTTGTTGATTGTTGTGCTGTGAGTAGTTCTCCAGCCAGCTCATTCGTATGATTTATAAGGCGCTGTTTATATTTTTTGCTGTTCATCCTTGTCTCTTCTTTAACAGTATTGATTTGCATATAGTTATGCATCACCTCATTTCTAACAAACCATGGAGCTTTAGTAATGTTTCTTAAAGTTATGGTCTGAAATCTTTGCAAAATCTCTATATTGGAATTACTAGCACAACTTCTTAACGGTAGAAACAAATTATGTCAAATTATTAATTATTATAAAAATTATTAATTGTTTGTAACGTCATAGTGCCTCAACAGCTTAACCAATCACTACGAAAGTTGGTATACATATTCTATATAGAATGGAAAAGGATCACTACCTTTTATCTCAGTCTGTGAATATATCCCGAACGAAGTCGCGTGTTAAAGCTCTATAAGTTATAACTCTACATTTTCCCCATTGCCCCACATGATTAGCATTAAAAATCGTTTTCCATTGAAATTGATAAGCGTGTAAAACAAGAATAAAAGACAGATGTCGTAAAATTAAATCTTAGATACCATTCCGTTGATCAGTACGGTAGAACACCGGGTCCGCGTAGATTAATCTAAATTCAAATTCATTTCTAATATTTAAATTTTATTAAAGGAAACATTAGATGCTTTGGAGAATTTTTAAATCGGCCCGACTTTTTTTTACAGTTAAAAGTTAATTTAATGGAAATAATGTTTGTTTACGTATGTTAATATGTTAGAGTAGTAACACATTCTTATGCTTTGATTACATAAATATTTACGTGTATTTAATTAGAAGTTTTACCATAAATTATATTATTTTACCATAAACATGGGATACTTCAAAAGGGGGGGCAACGCGCGTAATATCCCTTATATTGCAGGCGTTTATAGGCTACGGTTACTACTTACCATCAGATGTGCCGTATGCTTGTTTGCCATCTCAGTTTTAATCGAATTTCAAGATTTATACAGGTTAAACATGAGTTATATTATGAGTGGCAACATGTATAAAATTAAATATCTGAAGAGTGTGAAATTAATTAAAAAAAAAAACCGGTCAAGTGTGAGTTGAACACCTGATGGTAAGTGGTTACCGTAGCTGCGGTTGTACGTGGGTATTATATAGTAGCAGTTATGAACGCCTATAAACCTCTTTACCCCTTTTTTTAATAACCCCAAGGTAAAATCTTTAATTAATAAATTTATCAAAATCATAGTTTTATTGTACAATTGGGAATGTCAAATAAGCTTATGCCCACGTAAAGAGGCAATCATCGTCTATAGAAACGTGCAGCACCATGAACTACACAGAATATATTATGACGACCATTGTATGACAAAGGTGTAACTAAGGTATTTACGCATCCGTACCCTCCAATTTCCGTATATAGTCGTGCCAGTCCCGGCATAGAATTAGCCATCCATTTCTTTCTCGTGGATGTCGTAAGAGGCGACTAATTGAGCTTATGGTAGAGGGATAGGCAACAGCGTCTCTCGGGGGGAAGGGATTGTTAGTAATGGGGAAGTTAGTCCTCATTGTTTATTTATTTATTTAAGGAACACTAACAGCATATTGCATTATAACATATAGTTATAGCAAACATTAAATATAATACAATATTAATGCACATGCCTATTATAGGTATTCACAGCATTTACTTTAACATAGTTATACAGTGCAAGAAAATTAAGTAAATAATAAAAATAAACATGTAACCTAAGTTGTGAGCAATATCAGAAAATACGATTATGAGTGAATTGAATTAAAAAATATTAAATATATATATATATATATATATATATATATATATATATATATATATATATATATATATATATATATATATATATATATATATATATATATATATATATTATCATAATTAGAGTTAATTGCTCGTTTATCGTCACGATGGGCTAATTGACCTGCCTTTTCATCCTCACCAATCATCCCTCACTGGTGCCCCGCCAGTGTATACTGATAGCGCGGGCGGGTTACTATTTCATTATCATCCATTAAAAAAAAAACAGCGTCTCTCTTAAAACATTACCAAAAGCAAAACTATGGTTGCCAACTCGACTGCCAAGTGTGACAATTATGGTTATAGGTGTCGCTACGTTCAGCAGTGGACAGTTAAAGGTTGATACAACCCTGCAATTTCACTACCAAATCCCACCGTTCATTTTTATATAACTATATGATTGGATATTTACTAATATTATGAAGTAGAAATGTTTGATTTTTTGTATGTTTGTTTATAATGGATCAACTCAAAAACAACTCAGCCGATTTTAATAATTCTTTTATTATGTAGAAAGCTATATCATCGGCTAGATGCTTACTAATATTATAAATGTATAAGTGAGTTTTTTGTTACTTTATAGCATCTTAATGACTTAAACGATCACTATGAAATTTTGTTTCACTAGGAAATTACAAGAATTATTATTATGTATGTATATACTTCATGGTATAGAGAAGACTAGGCTATTTTTTATCCTGGTCAATGTACATATCCCGGTCATGTAGATGAAGGTGCAGGAAAAAACTAATTGCTTATATTATTATTTAAAAAATCAGAGATCTATATAAAAATAATGTAAACCAATATATATAACCAAGATAGATAGATAGATAGATGACCTTTATTACTATTATTAAGAAAATAAATATTAAAACAACAAAAAGAAAAAAAGAACAATTAATGTTGCTAGTAATAGGAGCCGCCTCAGCTGTTGCTATGTATGTACAGCTCCAGCGAGATGTACCTATATAGCGCTGATTTTCAGGTGGCCCCTTAACTCCTTTACCTTTAGCATGCGTGCGGGTCGTCAATACCTATTTCTCGGATGGGAGACTCAACACGCTTACCAAAAAATACATAATACATTACAACACATACATAAAACATTACAACAAATATACAAAAAATTACAACACAAAAAACAATATCTTTTTTTAAATAAAACTGAAAATATAGTATGGACATGTAATCTACAAGGTTGAGAAACACGTTTTTCGGAAGGTATTAAGTATGAATGTGGGTGGCTATGAGGGCAGAGAAATGCCTAAAAGGATATGGGTAGACTCTGTGAAAGATGATATGACCAAAAAAGGAGTGAATGCGGAAATGACTGTGAATAGAGAAGAATGGAAAAGAAAAACATATTATTTATTTATTTATTCATTAGTGTAAATATGTGTACATGGCGGACTTAATGCTAAAAGCATTCTCTCCCAGTCAACCATAGGGAAGTGTCAGAATACTCGAATGCGGTACTAGTAATTATTGATATACATACCTACTAAATTTACATATATAAACGAATAAATATATATAAATAACAAATATTCTTTCATATATATAACATATACTATATTATACACGAAATTGGGAATAATATAAAGTACTTACTGCTCGAATAAAGTAAGGAAGTGAGCATGAACGTTTTTTTTTAAAGACGGTTTAGTCGATAGTCTCTTAATGGCATCAGGAAGCGCGTTCCAGAGTCGTGAAGAATGTAGTTATTACGTCGACTCCAAGTAATAATTGGGATCAGGGTAGGAAGATGATGAATATAGGATTTTAAATTAACACTTTCAAACAGTCTAATGTAGTAACACATAACGCTCATATAAACAGCAGTAATGCAATATATATTCAGCTAACTGCTACGTGTAAATGCAATTCGTCCAGATTTAGTGTGTCGCCATGTGGCTAAGCGGTCTCCCTGTTACAAATTACGGACTGAAAATGTTTCAGTCTGAATTAGACGGAAACTAGGTATTGTACGGAAATCCTAGTGGCGAAATAATTCTGAATTATTCTCATAGTACGTACTGGTGATGATAAATAAGCAAATTTTTTTTATAATACAATAAGCAGGGGAAGGTATTGTTAGTAATGCGAACTACCAGTCTCATTGTTAGCAATATACCCTGACAGGTCGATCTCTACGTGGTCTTTCCTGGAAACCATCCTGCAGAATTCCAGGTGTATTTATCACGATGGGCTAGCTGACCTGCTCTTGTATTTTCACTTATCATCCCTTACTGGGTGCCAGTGAGTGCCGATGTATACCAATAGCGCAGGCCAGGCCATCCTTTATCATCAATTAAAAAAAATACAAGAAGCAAATGCAAAGACAGACAGACTTTGCAATTCTTGCATTACATATTAGACCCTATTTTATCATTTTGGGAATTGGGAAAATGAATTCAAGAAATCGCTATTTAGCAATTAGGCCGCTGATTATTGTCTCTTTATCTTAATTTTATGTAATTAAATATTCGTTTTGTTTGCATATATATATTATTAATCTTTATAATATGTATCATTTTATGAATGGAACATTAAAAAGATTTCATTAATTCATTCAAATAAGCGTATGACTCTTGATAGTAAGTGATTACCGCTGCCTATGAACACCCCCAATACTGGAGGAATTGCAG